ATCTGTTTAGCCTGGAGGAGACTGAGGGGGAAATCTCATTAATGCTTATAAAAAACTAAAAGGAGGGGTGTCAGGAGGATGAGACCAGGTTCTTCTCAGTTGTGCCCAGAGGCAGGATAAGGGGCAATGGTCACAAACTGGAACACAGGAGGTTCAACCTAAATATAATGAAAAACTTCTTTGCTATAAGGGTGACAGAGCACTGGAACAAGCTGCTCAGAGAGATTGTAGAGTCTCCTTCTCTGGAGACATTCAAAACCTGCCTGGACATGTTCCTGTATGATCTTCTTGAGGTGATCCTGCTCTGGCAGGACTAGATGATATTCAGAGGTCCCTTCCGACCCCTACCAGTCTATGATTCTGTGATAACATTACTAATCACAGGGATCGGTACTATACTATACATATACTATATACTGAGCCTGAGAGAGCTCGCCAGGTGCTTCTTCCATAGGCATGGGGGTTTGGAAGTGAGGATATACCATTTCATTTGAGACCTGCCTGACTTTCTCTACTTGATGAGCACAAGGCATCCATACTTTCCAGCAGTGTGTCAGGAAGGGAGGAAAGCTTCTGTGTGCCAGGATCTGAGGAAAGTGTCTGCATAAGCAGCACATCTGTTGGCCAGGTGCTCCTGCAGTCTCTGATTCAAGCTGAATTGGAGCAGCTTTGAGCAAACACCCGTTCTCTGCTGTCTGGTTAGGTTAGATTCAGTCAGGTCTAGCCCTCTTAAACAACTAGGTTTTTTGTCACACTTGATCAGGAGTATGAAGGTGAACGCAATTCAGCAGGTGAGCGTCACGGACGTGGAAAAGCAATTCTACCCAATCGTGACACATACGATGGAGAATACAAACATGGTGTCAGAAGTGGACAGGTAAGACAGTGACAGAAGGCAGCAGTTGTGCTTATGTTTCACCAGTTCTGTTAGTTTGGGCACCATACTGAAATAAGAGTGAGAACTGACAGATACTTTATCTATTCCAAATATGTTTCAGGGGACTTACAGATTTAAAAATGGCGCTCGCTACATTGGAGAATACCTTCAAAACAAAAAGCACGGTCGGGGCATTTTTTTTTATCCAGATGGATCAAAATATGAAGGTAAAACCTGGTTGCAAGGATTTCTGTGGCTGAAAGAACACAATCCCTCAGCTTCCTCCCCACATTTGGAATGCAAGGAGATAGTGAATTGGAGAGCACATTATTTTAAGAAGATAAATTTTCTGTGAAATTCTTTTAATTCCTCTAATTATCTTTTTTATTGTTTGGTTTGTTTTTTTTACTAGAAGATCTGAGAAGTGTGAGTTTATGACAAGTATAGTGAGAAGTGTGGTGCTTAGTAGCAGTTTAGTCTTGTCATTTCCTCCTTTCATGTGGGAAATTCAAAGTCCTGCAAAATATTAAGCATCTTTGAGAAATCAGTGCAATCTTGGTAGAAGAGTGTATAGTTACGTATTTCTGAATGATGGTTAGAACCACTGACTATGCTCAGTATAAAGTGTTTCAGAACTTGGTTAGGTCCATCCTTGAAATACAGTCTACTAATCCACTTTCTCAGGAATTGGAATGCCTCTGAAGTTTAAGGAAGTTGAAACTCACATTGTTTCCCATCTTCCAGTAGAGTACTCGAAACCATCTGAATACCATTTAGGCTTCAAGGGACAATATTTCCCCTGCTCCTTTCCAAGCTAGGCAAGAAAGAACATTCACATTGTGAGGACTGAAAGCAGACTGCCAAAACAGCAGCCCAACTCTTGTTTTACAGGACTGTATTCACCTGTGATTGGGGTTGTTTGTTTTGTTTTGTTTTGTGTTTTTTTTTAAGTTTAAATAGAAGAGTAATTAAGACACAAAATCTAGCACCCTTCTGAGTATATATGCCCCTGACTGACAGGAAAATTTTAACAAATGAGTCAAACTAAAGTACTCTCCCTTTTTATTTGAGTGGAGATGTTACATTATCTAATGAAACTGTAATACATTACCCAATTTAGAGATAGGAGCAGGATGTTACATGGCTTCTTCTGTTCATCCTAAGATAATGGAGATAGACCATGATGAACAAAACGTGTTTGGAGTGAAAGAGTGATCAGGCAGCTGCGTAAATACGTGTGGAGAGGGACAGACAGAAGAAAAAAGAGCAAGAGCTTATAGTAAGGAATGGAGTAAGGAATCACAATGATGTCATAGCTTTATTTTCCTTCTCTAATAATTCATGTTTGATAACTTTACAAACTGACCACTGTATCATACAATGAAATATACCATGTCTCACTCTGCTTTTATTGTATTCTTATTAAAGGAGACTGGGTGAATGACCAGAGGCATGGCTATGGAAAGTATACGTACGCAAATGGAGACATCTATGCTGGAGAATGGTTTAACCACAATAGGTTTGTCTCATTCTTGCAGTCATGTTTCGAATCACCCAACAACATTAAAATAAAAAGGTTATTTCCGAAGTATGGCTGACTGCAGCAAATCAAGTACTACTGGATGACCTCAGCAATTTAGGTCAGCTTGAGTCGTTTCAGCTACTTAAATAATACAGTTGTAATACCTTAAGTATAACAATATCCTACAGTCTTAATATTCAGTAATAGAAAGCATAATTATTATTTTCTTCTTAGGCATGGACAAGGTATATATATCTATAAAGACACAGGATCTAAGTATGTTGGTGGTTGGGTAAATGGAAACCAGGAAGGAGAAGCTGAAATTGTCCACCTAAACCATACATTTAAGGGCAAGTTTTTGGCTGGAAAAGTAAGTGTGCTGGAAAACTCTCTATTCATCTGAACAGTTACCATGGAATTGCTTTAAGATGATCTGTTTCCACTTAAAATAAGAAGCTAGGCTCCCAATCTTTTGTAGTATTTCTGGTACCATAAGTGTAAGAGGAAAAACTGAATTAATCTGCAGGACAAAATGCCAAGTTTCTCTGCAACTTTGCTTTCAAACTATGTTGTTATTGACTATTGTATAAATTCTGTAGTAAAGCATATTTTACATTTAAATGCTTAGAAAGTACTAACTTTAGAGTTCTGCTGACTTTTTTGTATCTGTGCAGCCTGTAGGTCGTGGCAAATATGTCTTTGATATTGGATGTGAACAGCATGGTGAATACATACAATCACAGCAGGTAAAAGACATAGCACAAATTATACTGAATATCAGAGAACTCAGTAAATCGAATCTATTGTTGGATAACCCATAAAATGCCTTATCAATACTGATGTTAAAGTAGGTCTAACCAGTCCAAAAAGGGTAGAAACTCATGCATACTTAAGAACTAAATGAGGTTTCATTTGTTTTTTTCTTTAGCTTCTCTATTGTGTAAGCTTTGACAAGTACAAGGTGCACTTCTTGAAGCCAGGAGTCCTTTCTGCTTAAAGTTTAGGAGAATCAGGACCTTACCAAAACGTTTCAAGTTTCAAACGACAGAAGAATGTAGAAGTATTTGTCTGTATATTTAACTTGTTTTCCACTTTGTTCTGAACACTAGAAAACAATGAAAAATATTTCGTCTTATATTTCTGGAGTACTTGATGCTATGCATGCAAATGGTAATTTCCAGCAGATTCACGTTTTGGAAATACGTTCCATTGTTGTCCTGGTCCTATTAGGAGTTTAATATCCACAGCTTCTAATAACTGTAGGGAGTGGCTGGGATCAGAGTCTGCTTTTCCTTCTCCTTCATGCATGAGTGTTTTAAAATGATTCTGATTAATATGGTGCAAAATAGCTACAGAGATAAGAAATATGTCTTAGTATTACTGTTTTGATTTCAAGAAAATACGCCACATTTATAGCTTAGAGTTTGCTGCCTCTGTTGTCTGATGCATTATCCCATTACACACTCTGAAAATTCTCCAATGCAGTAATTATTTCTTACGGCAAAGACAAAATAATAATTTAAAAATCCTATCATTAGTGACAGAGATTTGCAAAACATGGAGACTGTTTTGCTTCTTTTGGCTAAGAGCAAGTATTAAGTATTGGATTCATATGAGTATCCAAAGTGATGTGTATCTAGTATCATCAGTTCAGTTGGGAATTGTTGCATTTGTTGATTTTGTAATATAAGGCCACTGATGTGGGAATTTAAATATTAATTTAAGTACCCACGGTTAATCACTCAGCTTCTGAAAATCACTACTCTCAGGAACATTTTCTTCTTATGTGAATGCTGTAGTGACTGTGTAAAGCAAGGGACAGAGCTGACACTAAAGTAAGATTAAATTTTGCCTCTGCTTTAGTTGAAGTAATTGCAGAACAAGGCCTATTAAAAAAATAAAATAAATCAGCTTGCAATACAGATAATGATTCTATTACTAAGACTCTTTTGTATTTGGATAAAATAAAGCATGATTTTTTTTAATTAAAAAATAAAATCTTCGAATTTCAAACACATAAGCTTTGTGCAGTACCTTACTTCTTCCTAGATCCGTTCCAAGGTCTTCCCAAAGCAAAGATTGAGGCAGAAAGAGCTGTTTTGCCACTTTGTTCCTATGTGAGATAGACAGTGTAGCATCTACCAGATAGAACATCAGGTCTTATTTGCCATTTTTATACTCCAGTCAGACACAGAAGAGGAGACATAGCTGATAGGCCCCTTACAGCCATTCTGTTTAAGGGAGAGATGAAATTTTACTTCAAAGAAAGCAAGCTGGCAAGTGTTGATGATTAGTAATAGTCAACTGACTTCATCCAGGTTCAAAGCGTAGCTTGCTTCCAAGATTTGTGGCTGCTGAAGTTCCCCCACTTGTAAATACTTTAAAAGGCCATGTCATTGCTGTTTTGAGCTCAGATGAAGAGGTTTTAGTACACAATCCCATCATCTTAGTTGCTCCCTTAATACCTGTAAGATGAGATGCTGGATTTCATGACTTGTCTTCTAGGATAAAGTAGAGGAAGAAGAGGAGGAGGAATCCTCATTACTTGTTGCACCAAAATGGAAAGCATCAAAAATTACCAAACTAAGACGCTGGACTCCACATGGGGAAAGCCCCCCTTCTCCCAGAGAAGCCTCCAAAGGGGCAGCAGCGACAGAAGCAGTGGAAGAAAGCACAGAAGCAGCAGTAACTGAAGAGGAGAAAATGCCTTCATTCGCAGGTTTGTTCCACTGGACAGCTTGAAAATCCATACTTTATTTATCCCCTGAAACTGTGTTTTTCAGGTTTTATATCAAGTGGTGAGAGAGATTTTTTTGTTTGGTTTCTTTTTGGTTTTCCTATAATTTACAACATATTGAATGTTAGGAACTTCCCAGCCCGTTTATAAACCGACCAATATATATATGTCTGTTTTATCTCACATAGCATAATAAGATACAACTGTCTTGGGAAGCCTGTGAATAATTTTAGTCTATATCATGGCCCGTTATATAAACTTGATTATAAACAGTTACAGAAAATTTTGTGGAATTTCTCATGTGAATAAAGACTGCAGACTTTAGTAGGAGTTATAGCTACTGCATGAAAACAATGGCTGAGTGCAAATTTGTAAAAATTACTTTTCCTTCATTATTTCTGTCGTATTTCAGTCACTGATGAGTCTGCTGAGGTTAAGGTTGATGAGCCTTCTCCTTATGAATTATCCAGTGAAGTTTTTAGCCTAGCAGGGGATGCAGGAGAGGAAGATGAAGGAATCAGAGAGGAAGATGAAGGAATCAGAGAGGAAGAAGAAAACAAAGATCAGGAGGATCAAGGTGAGGAAAGGGACATGCATGCTTATTCTTCACTTAGCAATCAGGGTTTGAAGTTACTTATGTCAGTCAGCTGAAGTCATGCTGCTGCTGGGAGGTCCATTATCATTATCAACCTGAAGAGACCATGGGAATCTCTACCTTTCACAAGAAGGCAGTCTTCTGTAGATGTAAACTGATTTTGAGTAGTCAAGGTCATATACTGTAACAATACAAATTAGAACTGACACTTCTGTGCATCATTATCTATGCATATAGAGTTGACAACATTTGCAGGACTGAGTTTGTAAGTGATTGCATTTGCAAACTGATTTTTGTACAAAAGAGAGAGAGATTTCAGACCCAGGAAAATTCAGGGGGTTTTGAGCACTCCACTTTTCTCTCATTAATGGAACTGCATATTCTTATTCTTTCAACTCAAGTTGAAAAGCAGGCAAATCAGATCTGAAGAAAAAAATACTGGTATTGTTATGCATTATGGATTGAACAGTCTCTGGCTGATTTGTTTGTTTTACAAACCAAAGACATTTGGATTTCATAGGATCAGGTTTTCTTCCAGGTAGTTCAGAAGCCTGTTTTAAATACAAAATTACTGATCAGCAACGAAAGGATGCATTATGTTTACTTATCTTTAGCCTATAGGTCTCCACCCAACTGTGTTGTTTGTATTTATTGTTAACATTTACAAGCTTAGATGTATGAAAACGTAAGACAAATTTATCCTTTTGTAATCAGTCCATTTTACAATAAATCAAAGCAAAGCACTATCAGTAGGGATCAGAAAGACTATTAAGCCATGTGAACATTCCTGGAGGTATACACTAAACATTTAGGTCAGCTCTTGGAATTTTCACAGTTTATTTGCTCTCATTTTTTACCCACCATCTCTGAAGGTGCTCTCCTGCTTCAGGGCAGAGTAGCCAGCTAGCGGATCTGATATGCAGGACTGACATCTTACAGGATCCTTGGGCTTGGGTCAGATCCTGCAGAAATCTAAGCAGGTTTCCTGCATAGCTCTGCTTTGGATTTGGCAAAAGTTCATTAAGCCTGGTTTGTCTCAAATTCTCTTGGACACAAATAACCTTTTTTGACTGAATTTTATTCTAACTAATTTTCTGGTCTACCACAATGAAACAGTTTTGATATTTCCCACCTTGACCCCCATCCTTCATTTTTTATAATTTTTTTGTGGTGGTGGTTGTTTTGTTGTTGTTTTTGTTTTGTTTTGTTTTTAAAGTGAACCCAAGTGTTCCTTCTGGCTCTTTATTTCTAGAATCAAAATAGTTGGATTTTATACATTTTTCAGCATAGGTCTACATCCATAATTAATTAGGCAACATATTGTTCCCCTTGTCTTAATGTTTAGGAAGATTAAATTATAGTAAGAAGAAATGTTTTGAACAAAATGTGCTGCATACTGTGAAGAGCAGATGTAACAAAATCTGGAATCTTGCAGCCTTGTATTCTATGCTCCGTTGCCATAATTTTTTTTCCACATAGGAATTCCATCCTCCTTGCTCCATGTTTCTTATGGTACTTGTCTAAATAGGAAACATTCTTTGGCTATTCCAGAGTTACATATGGGCTGGCTGGCAGTCAGTATGTGTGTGCTGACTCTGTCTGGCAGCTGACAAACAATGTGAAATGCTTAAATTCAAGTATTGGCAGTGAAAGGCAGTGGGGAAGATGATTGAGGTAGACAGTATAGTCCTAGAATTATGTTTTATGTTACTAGGATTACTTTCTCCTATTTTATAATAAAATGCATCTCTGTGCCCTGTTTTTACTTTGCCTCCACAGAAACTACTGGTTTAGAGGATAAGGAGGATGAATGAAAAGAAACAGAATAAATCGATACAACTAAAGAGCCCAAAAAAAGGAAACTTCAAAGCAGATAATGTATTATGGTAAACCTGCAATATTCTTATTCATAAAAGGTTGAGTTAAGATGTTTTGAATAAATGTTTCTGTTGCTGCTCTGTCTGGAAAATGTATCTCTGAAACTTTTATGATCTCAGAGTGTGCAGTCTCAGGACAACTTCCTTTATTCCACGTAGCAGGTGGTCAGTTGTTGAATTCAGTATGGGTTTATTCTGGATCCATGAAGTTGTGTCCTCACAAGTCTGCAGAAGCAAACTCAATTTCCTCCTGCTACTGGTAGTTCTTTTCTTGAATGCTGCTGCCTCTGGGCACAGAGACATGGGGGTCTTGCTTATGAAGACAAAGACAAAGGCAGCAGTGGTCTTCCTACCTCTATCTGTGCCCCCTGTCACTAGATCACCCATTATAGGCCTACTTTTTCCTTGTTTGTTCTCTTATTGTTCATGTACCTGTGTGTATACTTAAGGTAGGCTCCCTTTTTACTTGTTTTATCTTTCCCAGGGGATATCTTGCTCCCATCATCCTGCTCATTTATTTACCACCCTCATTTCTTCACTTAGTGTAAGCAGTTATCACCATCCCCAAGGTATCAAGTTTAAGTCTCTCCTCACAAGACTTACAAACCTATTGGCAAAGCTACTCTTACCTCACTTTGTTAGATCTCCTTGTTCCTCCAAGAGAGGCCCATGGTGATGAAAGTCAAAATGCTACCTATAGGAACAGCCATATGACCAGTGGTTATGTCTCAGGATTGCATATCCTCCTACTTGACCTCTTTCCACAGAGGATCAAGGATATATCCTTTACATTCCAATGTCCTTTGCCACCCAGAATCCTGCACTTATTCTTATTTTGCTCCAGGTGTCCCTCAGCAGTATCACTGATGGTCACACTGATGAACAATGAGGATTAACAGTCAGGGGACTGAATGACCCTTGGCAACACCCAGTATCTGGACATCCATCAAACAGCAAACCTCCCATGGCAACACATCTGGCCAGCAGACAGGTTCTTTTATTCCCTACAGGAAGATATCTCCAACTGCTGCCACTTGCTGCTGATGCTCAAGCTGGGCACAGCTGGCTCTGAAGTCTCCCTTTGCAGCACCTGTTCCCCTCCTGTGGGTATTAGGGCTCAATACCGACTCTGCATTCAGTCTGAGCAAGGAGGAGGAACATTTCTGCTGCTGCCAGAAGTCAACTTCAGCAACCTCACTCAAGAGAGTGCTCATCCACTGCTCCATCCAGCACAGCCCCATCCAGCACAGCCCCTAGACATCCATCCACCTCAATCTCAGGCTCTGACCTCTGCAGAGACCCTGCTGATACCCCCTTTATGCTCCTTAACAGTGAACTGTCTGCACACCTCCTTCTGCTGGTCCTTGGATACTCAACACCTGGACCACTACACACCTCCCAGAGGGGATGACCTCATCACCCACGGTACCAGTGAGACACCTGGACACAGCATCCCCATGCCCGATCCCTGTCTAGGTAGTCACTGCTGATGAGCCAAGAGTACTTCCTCCACTGGTGCTGGAGATCAGAGTCAACACTGGTGTTGCACAGTCCCATGGTGTTTGCTGTGGAGTTTCTGCCTTTCCCCAGCATGCACACAAACTACGTGAAGCTCTGCTTGCTGTTTTCCCATCTCCCAGCTGCATAAGCATCCCTGCACAGTAGACAAAAAACAGTTCAGCACTCCCTAATCAGCAGGCAGCGAATTACTGAACATGCAGCTCCTTCTAAATCAAGATTCAGGAAGCAGCCAGCAGGAGACAGCAGCTGCAGAAGTCCCCTAGAAGCCACCATAACCAAATGGCATTATATAAATAGTAAGTTAAAAGTACAGAGGATGGCAGGGCTGCTCAAAATACTGTACAAGCAATAAATGCCATGGACAGATCTTTTCTCCTCTTTTGCAGGTGAATAAAGCTGCTCTGAGACTTTTTTCCCCTCTAGTATGTAAGCAATGCCTTAATTATTAACATATATATCTGTCTGAATTTAATTGACTCTCTCACACTATGAGAATATCACAGAATCACAGAATCACAGAACGTTAGGGATTGGAAGGGACCTCAAAAGATCATCTAGTCCAACCCCCCTGCCGGAGCAGGAACACCTAGATGAGGTTGCACAGGAAGGCGTCCAGGCGGGTTTTGAATGTCTCCAGAGAAGGAGACTCCACAACCTCTCTGGGCAGCCTGTTCCAGTGCTCTGTCACCCTCACTGAGAAGAAGTTTCTTCTCAAATTTAAGTGGAACCTCCTGTGTTCCAGCTTGTGCCCATTACCTCTTGTCCTATCATTGTTTGTCACCGAGAAGAGCCTGGCTCCATCCTCGTGACACTCACCCATCATATATTTATAAACATGAATGAGGTCTCCCCTCAGTCTCCTCTTCTGCAAACTAAAGAGACCCAGCTCCCTCAGCCGCTCCTCCTAAGGGAGATGCTCCACTCCCTTGATCATCTTTGTAGCCCTATGCTGGACTCTCTCCAGCAGTTCCCTGTCCTTCTTGAACTGAGGGGCCCAGAACTGGACACAATATTCCAGATGCGTATGAATGTTCATGGGCCTGGATCCTGAGGTAGAGGGTTGCCAGCCAGCAGTAGTTTGCTATTTTACCAGTAGAATAACTGGGTTTTGGCCCAGTTGGGATAAGAGATATTGTACAGATATTGCTATAACAAGACCTGATTTTTTTTTATTCTTCACCTCAGAGCAGGAAATCTATACTAAAATTTTAGTTTAGGGGGGAAAGGAAAACATTTTAACAAGTTCCTTTTCTCAGCAATTAACTATTTCAGCAAAGGTATGGCCAGAGGTTTAAAAGATAGTGGTAAAAATGGATTAACATAAAGTAGAGATAAGCAAACAAATCACATAAATAGAGTTTATAACTTCTTCCTGCAATTTTCTCCTATCAGAAATGTCATAGTGAGAAAACTCCTGTGCAATCTTTCCCCTCCTATCTTACATGTAATTGTGTTTGCAATTTCTTGTCACACTGTGACTTCAGTGAGCATTTTTGAAGGTGGTCATCTTTTCCTCTTTTTGCTTTCTTTGGCAAACAGAAGTGCTGCATTTCCATTATTGGCTTGCTAATGTCAAGGTTTTTGTCTTTTTATGAAAACCTAAAAATCATTAGTTTACTTGCTAGTTTTAATATATTCTACTGTAAATTTGAGAAATATCTGCACAGCTTATTTCCCAGCTATTTCCATTTTAAGGTAATCTTCAGCTGAGTTCATTCTTGAATGATTTAAGAAATTGCCTTCTCCCCTGCAGCAGCCAGTACTGTACTGTTTGTTAGTACATGAGTGACCTCCAGTGGTACATCTGCAAAAAGTGCATCCTGTCTGGAATACGATCACCAACAGCTAACACCTGGAAAACTCTAACGTGCTAAAAAGTGCTCCCAAGAAGATGTCTTGCTCCCTTTGGAAACCACTGGTGCTTTTGTTGGAGGAGACACTTCATTTCGCTTTTTTTTCCAGTAATACCATAAGGATGATTTGGAAACTAGTTAATAGTAGTTCCTTTATCCCTGTCTTGAAGAGGGAGGAATCCCTGCAAAAGCTTCTTGCGCAAAGGTATGCTAAGACTCTCTCATATTCTGCCTTTTCTCTTTTCAGTAATGAAGAAAGACCACTTTTAGATAGTATTATAGCAGTCATTTTTCAGACCTCTAAATAAAGTGAAAAAACAGATGTGCTGTTACATGTTATATGATGTTTGAACTTCAGGATTTGTAGCTTTCCCTTCAGATTTTCATCCTGAGTTTATCACTCTGGTGTTTGAAATGTACTCCAAAGTTGATACAGTATTATTTAAAAATATTAGATAATTTTAACTTATACATCTAACATTAGTTTTGGTGCCTAGCTTTTTTCCTTTAAATCATAGAATTATAGAATCACAGAATGGCTTGGGTTGGAAGGGAACTTTAAAGATCCACTAGTCCACTTCCCCCGCTTGGCCAGGGACACCTTTCAGTAGGTGAGGTTGGTATGTTAATGGCATCTATTAAGACATTATGAATTTGAGGTTAAGACTCAGGTGATTCTCTCCCACATATAAAAAATGTATGAAAAATGGTGCCGAGGGTATCTATCTGTGCTCTATGTGTCTTAGAGAAACATCAGAAGACTTGCATTTGACTTGCAGAGCTACTTCTTTCCCAGAGATGGGACTTCTTCTACAGTGGACAAGAAATCTGGTCACAAGAGTTTGTTGGAGCTAAAGGAGGAATCTGGGGTTCTCAAGTTCTTCTTGCATCAAGGACTTGGAGTGCATTTATTTCCATCTGAAAATGCAAATGTTTTAAACACCTTTGAGGAGAGCTCCATGTTACATTCACAGATGATAAGGGAAAAAAGACCTGTCTGAGCTGTTGCATAAAGCACACTTTCCCCTCTTTCATCCACTTCACCCTAAGGAGATTTATGACATTTTTCCAGAGTGCTATGATCTATGCATGCAGGATGTAGGAAACATCCTTTCCGTCAAATTTTATGAGTCCTCACTTCCTGCAAGTTTAAGGGACCGTAGGAGGGCAATCTTGCAGTGTTGGAGCCTTTTCTCTCCTAAAAAGACTTCACATGCAGTGGACATCATTCCTCTTTTCTAGAAGGATTGTTCTGGAAGGGTTCCAGCAGGCTTTTTTCCCCCTTTTCGAAAGCAAATAAATTTGTTGTATAGTGTAAGGTAGGTATTTATAAACTGGCCATGTGCTTTTCAAATGTGTTCAGCCTGGGGTCTTTTACCACCTTTAGAAATAATGTCAGAAATCAAATGTTAGGGGAAGCAAACTGGTTAAGGAGACATGGAATTACTTTTATACTTGATTCAATGACTTCCTCACGTATGTACTTGTCATGGTTTAACTCCAGTAGGCAGCCCAGCCCCACGCAGCCGCTTGATCACTCCTATGTGATGGGATATTTGAGAGAACTGGAAGGTGTAAAAGTGAGAAAATTTGTGGGTTGAGAAAAGGATAGTTTAATGGATAAAGGATACAGCTGTGAGCACAAGCAAAGCAAAATAAGGAATTCATTCACAACCTCCCAGGCAAGTGTTCAGCCATCCCCAGGAAAGCAGGATTTCATCACAAGTAATAGATACTTGGAAAGAAAAACACCGCAATTCCAAATGCCCCTCACTCCCCTTTTCTCCTTCTTCCTTCAGCTTTTATTGCTGAGCACAACATCAGATGGTCTGGGATAGCCCTTTGGACAGTTGGGGTCAGATATCCCAGCTGTGTCCCCTCCTAACTTCTCAGGCACCTCCAGCCTACTCACTGGCACGGCAGTGTGAGATGCAGAAAAGGTCTTGATGCTATTTAATCACTGCTCAGCAATAACTAAAAGCATCCATGTGTTATTAACACAGTTTTGGTCACAAATCCGAAACATAGCACCATAGAAGATACTATGTAGAAAATTAACTCCATCCCAGACAAAACGAGTAAGGTATCCCAAAAGATGACACCGCTTTAAAGGGTCTTCAGTAACCTGCCTTGTTCAGCCTGTAGGCCCAGCAAAGAGGTTGTCAGTAATCTGCTTCTCTGTGGTGAGAGTATCCAGATGTGACACAAACACCAAGATCTCTGCACTAAACACTGCTGAGCAGTGTGGGCAAGTGAAGTGAGAAACCACGGCGCAGATATGGGAGTCTGTGCATTTCAGCCCTGCAGAAAAGCGCAGACGACAGCAGTGTCTGAAGTTTTTTTGTGTACATAAAGTGGGAAACAAAGACATAAAAGAGATTTACATGTGTGTTTCTTGCTCTTCTGCCTGGAATACGCAGCTTGGCGCCACTGGTGAAGGAGAGCAATTGTTTGTGATTCAGTTGCCAACTCACACAATCACAGAGGTTTTCACTGACAGAGGTATTTTCACAAAGGACTTTTTAGAGGTTTTTGTTTTTTTACATATCAGTTACTCTCATGTGCTGGAGCAGTTTCTGAACCATCCTCAAGTACAGGGATGTACCAGATGGTTTTAAACTGACCACCACAGTGTGTCATAAATTAACAACTTTCTGACACAAGCTCAGTGGGACCACAAAACTCCATTTCTTAAGTACACCTCTAGCTTGCTATTTTTCAGAAAGACTGATACTTTGGCAAGGTGCTTTTGAATAAGTTGATACTGGATTAATAGGGTATATTGCATATACTTTCCATTCTGTATTTTATTTATTCCGCTTTCTAGCTCACAGATGGCAAGAGAAACCCAATAGAACACCTGGGAAATTACAACTTATTACCAGACAATATTAAGGACAACTGAGGTTTAAAAGACAGAGGTAAAGTAATTGTATTCTAAATGTGTTCTGTCAAAACTGGATTAATGAATTCTCATAAACAGATTTGTGACATAAATTTCTGCTTTGAATTAGAAGGTGCATATTTATTAGTAGCATCTCTATATTTGATCCCCACCACCCAACCCCAGCAGTTTCTAAACACCAAAATGCTACAGATTTAGGCCCTGGTTTTCA